TCTATTGAGAACACTCTCTTAAGTTCTGGCCCCCTTATTTGATTGGGTTATTTTGTTCATTGGTGTTTGATTTCTTGAATTAATTATATATTTTGGATATTAGCCCTTTGTTGGATGTGGGTTTGGTGAAGATCTTTTCCCAATCTGTAAACAGTCATTTCATTCTATTGACACTACCCTTTGCCTTACAGAAGCATTTAAGTTTCATGAGGTCTCATTTATTAATTGTTGATCTTAGAGCCTGAGCTCTTGGTGTTCTGTTCAGGAAGTTGTTTCCTGTGTCAGTGAGTTCAAGGCTCTTTTAATAAATTTAGTGTGTCTGATATTATACTGAGGTCTTTGATCCACTTGGATTTGAGTTTTGTAAAGGAAGATAAATATGGATCTATTTGCATTTTTCTACATGTAGATATTAGTTGTTGACACCATTTGTTGAAGATGGTATCTTTTTCCCATTGTATCGTTTTGGCTTCTTTGTCATAAATCAAGTTACCATATGTATGTGAGTTTATGTCTTGTTCTTCCATTCAATTCCATTGTTCAACCAGTCTATTTTTATGCCAGTACCATGCCTTTTTATTATTTATTTATTTATTATACACTAATGCTTTGTAGTATACCTTGAAGTCAGGGATGGTGATACCTCCAGAAGTTCTTTTATTGTTGTATAGGATTGTTTTAGCTAAAGTGGTTTTGTTATTTTTCCACTTGAAGTTTACAGATCTTGTTCTTTCAAGGTCTGTAAAGAATCTGTTGGTATGTTGATGGGGATTGCATTGAATTTATAAGTTGATTTTGGTAAGATGCTCATTTTTACTATGTTAATTCTATAGATCCATAAGAATCCATAAACAAGTCTTTGACTTGCTTGGTTATAGTTATACCAAGATAATTTATATTATTTATGGCTTTTTTGAAAGATGTACTTTCCCTAATTTCTTTCTCAGACCATTTGCCATTTGTGTACAGGAGGGCTACTGATTTTTTTTTAAATTAATCTTTTATCTTGCCACTTTGAGAAAGCTGTTTATCAGCTGTAAGAGTTCTCTAGTGGAATTTCTGGGGGTTTCTTAGGTACACTATCATATCATCTGCAAGTAGTGATATTTTGACTTCCTTCCCAATTTGTATCCCCTTGATTTTCCTTAGTTGTCTTATTGCTGTAGGTAGAACGTCAACTACTATATTGAAGAGGTATGGAGAGAGTAGGTAACCTTGTCTTTTAGCAGAATTTTAGGAGAATTAATTTGTGTTTCTCTCCATTTGCAGTATATAGCATTTATTAAGTTTAGGTATGATCTTTGTATCCCTGATCTCTGCAAGACTTTTATCATGAAGGAATGTTAGATTTTGCCAAACACTTTTTCTGCATCTAATGAGATGATCATGTGATTATTTTTTTTTATTTTGTTGTTTTATATGGTAGATTACATTGATGGATTTTTGTATGTTGAATCATCCCTGCATCCCTGGATGAAGCCTACTTCATCATGGTGGATGATGTGTTTGATGTGTTTTTTAATTCAATTTGTGAGTATTTCATTGATTATTTTTGCATCGATGTTCATGATTGAAATTGGTTGGAAATTCTCTCTTTGTTGAATCTTTGTGTGATTTAGATAGGAGACTGACTGTGGCTTCATAGAATGAGTTTGGCAGTGTACCTTTGGATTCTATTTTGTGAAATAGTTTGTAAAATATTGGTGTTAGCTATTCTTTTAATGTCTCATAGAATTCTGGACTAAAACCATCTAAGCCTCGGCTTTTTTTGAATGGGATATTTTGATGACTGCTTCTATTTCCTCAGGGGATACAGGACTGTTTAAATGGTTTTCCTAATCTTGACTTAACTTTGGTAGGTGAAATATTTCAAGAAATTCATCCTTTTCTATTTTAAAATTATGATACAGGCTTTTGAAGTAAGTCCTAACACACACATGCACAGAATTAAGAACAAAATATAATCTTTTAGAAGTAAAAAAAAAAAAAAAACATTACTGTGTTGTGTAGTGGCTAATCAATGAGTACTAAATTCTGAAAATTTGTATCTTTTCATTTACATGGAAGGAGTAATTATACTTAACTACTTACTAGCATATAATACTTTGAGAGGTAAAAATATTTTAAATTGATCTTTTGGTTCTTGCTTTTGTTTTGTGTTGTTTTGTTTTATTATTTCATTTTTGTAAGAAACAGATAAATATTACCCAGGTCCTCAAACGGTGTATGTTGGTGTGTGTGTGTGCACTCACGTGCATGTATGCACTAGCATATGCAAGTTCTCAACCATGCTAGCACATGTACAAATACATGCATGTGCATTTGATTCTCTTTTTCCACTCTTGGGTTTTTAGATAGATATTGGTTCATCATACATAAACATTTTTAATCCACTGAGTCCTCTCACAAACCTGCAAACCGGCAAAGCAATTCTCCTTTCAATTCTTTTTCTGAAACCTCTTATTGACCACTTCTTAATATGTGTCTAGAATAAACACTTGCCCAGAAATAAGACTATTTCACACAGCCTTCTTTTAAAGAAAAAATATTGCTTTCTAACATTTCACCCAGTTTTTCTGTATGCCTATTTTTGTACAAAGAGCTTTGGTTTGTAACAAACGCTATAGTGATGCTCTCCTTGGATCAGTGAATGCTTCCTTTCAATGAATATAATCTTTTGAAAGTAAAGGAGCATTAGAAGAAGCACTTTTGACTTAGACCCTGAAGAAATAGTCCAATAAACACTACTTTCCACTGCTTTGAAAATTTTCAATACCAAAATGTCTCTCCAGTTTATACTTCCCTTCTCTTAACTTTTGCTTGTTTTTCATTTCTGAGATATAATTCTGACCTTCATTCACTACCAATCAGTGGCTCACATCATCCCCACTCCCTAGCAGCCCATGGCTACACACCTGACATGGCAAGCACTTTAATGGCTGAGCCGTTTCTTCAATCCAGATTCCTTTAAATTATTTTGATGAAAGCCTGGTAATCACAATGATCTTTAAGACTAAAATAGGAAGGTATGGGAAACAATCATATGTTAAAATAAGTATGAAAAAGTGCATTAACATTGCTTATCATGAAGACAGATAAATGAGGATAGCACATGGCCTGAAGGAGACAGGAGCTGGAGAAAGAAAAGAAAAATAATTCACTCCAAATGTTTCATAACCTGGCAACACTGACTCTTTGGTTTGAAACCCATGAATTCTGTGAAACTTCCAAATAACAGACATGAAAGATAGTAAATTTATAATTCAAACAATTAAAGTTATTTAAGTTTGTGGCAGTGTGTTATATTGGACACATATGAAGTTATATGTGTCATTTTTGGTTTTTGCATGTAAGAAAAGACAAGTGCCAAGCTTTTTAAAATGTGGATGTTGGAGGGAAAAAAACAAGATGAGGATAAAAATTAATGAGGCTGGAGATGTGGCTCCATGGTTCAGAGCATTAGCTGCTCTTCCAGAAGACCTTAGTTTGGATGCCAGTAGCCAAAAAGGTAATTCTTGCTCCAAAAAAATCTGACACCTTCTTTTGTCTTTTATAGGTACCCACACACAGACACATGGTATGTTCAGATGCAGAAGTACACACACACACTCACACACATACACAAACACATACAAATGCAACAGAGGGAAACAGAGTGGGAGGGGATGAGAATAAATTTTAAGAATCAGAGGAGAAATAGGACAAGAATTACTAGGCGCTATTATTATCTCATTTTCTGTCCTTACATCTTTTCCTTAATGCTGCTAGCATAATATAAGCTTAGAGTTTAAAAAGGCACTATTTGGAGTTCCCGTCCCCTCCAGCTCTTACTATTTCCTACTTCTTACATAAAATTCCATTCACTCTGCCCATCAGTTGGCCATCAGGCTCAGCATCTGCTTTGACAGTCTGTACTGCAGAGGCTTTCAGAGGCCCTCTGTGGCAGGTTCCAAGGTTGTTTCCTGTTTTCTTCTTCTGGCTTTCAGAGGCCCTCTGTGGCAGGTTCCAAGGTTGTTTCCTGTTTTCTTCTGGCTTTCAGAGGCCCTCTGTAGCAGGTTCCGATCAATATAAAAATATAATGTATGCTGGTGGTTAAGAAAATGCCTTCACCATTCTGAAAACTGCAAGGATTATCATAATAAAATAACTGGTTAGGACATCTAGTTATGTTGAAGCTATTTTACCTTAAGAAAAATATGGCGCATTATGCGTTACAGTTCTTATGTAATTGCATCACAGTAGTTTGTTCAAATGACTGCTTTTAAGAAAAAATAATGAGATGTCTTGAATAAAATGAGACATTTGTTCTTTCTGTGAATCCCAAATGATTGCATCTCCATCTCTTATAAAGACTGAAAAATACCCTAGGAATTTGGATATGTTCATAGGCATGTCCCCAGTTAGTCTCCAGTCATTACAATTAAGAAGAGTGATGCAGGTAGAAATGTTCACTCATTCAGTCTACTCAGCTTCCTTGAGACAAAAATCACGATACATCTCTGTGAGACCCACTTTCATTTCTAACACCATTGTTTCCTTATTATCGTTTTTCTCTTGTTAACATCGTGGAACAAATGGTCTAATAAGCATTGTGATTTATTTGTGTTAATCATGTTCATCCATAAATCAATGGTGATGGGGACAGAGACACAATTCTCTCAATTACATAGGGTTTGATTAGAGTGTGATAGAGCTACTTTACTCTTCCAACAGTTTATAAAATACAAGAATGAAAAGTCTGAAGTTTAAAACATTTTTCTTTCAAAGCAGAGTTAGTCATAACCCTATTCTATGAGATATGGTTGAATGGTATATTGGTACCTACAGTAAATGTGCAGTTGAAAGAAGAGGAAGAGAGATATGTAAGGAGTTTCCTTATTCAGAGAGTAACAAAGGAATTTCCTGCTGGTTAACAGACACAGAAAACATATAGACTATTTTGAGAAAATAAGACCTATGGTTTTTTGTTTGTTTGCTTGCTTTTAAAAAAATCATTGCAGAGACTCTTGGTTTGGATCTGGAAGTTGCTAGAGCAAACACCGTGGGTTTTGTTGGATGCCTTTCTTCGGTCCAATACAACCACATAGCACCACTGAAGGCAGCTCTCCGCCATGCCAGCATTGCACCTGTGACTGTCCAAGGGACCTTGACAGAATCCAGCTGTGGCTTCATGGTGAACTCTGATGTGAATGCAGTGACCGTTGTACATTCTTCATCAGGTACTTCCCAGATGATGCTCTACTGGTTTTCCATCACTAACTTAATTTCTGCTGTCTTATAGGGAGAGTAATAGTGTTGACCAACATCACTTAGCTTTTTGCCTTGTAAGATTATAGATGGTTACAAATTGTAAATGGCTTCTCATGAGTCATATCTATGTTTACAAAATACTCCAACAGAAGCAAATTAAGGAAGAAAGAGTTTATTCTGTTTCACATTTCAAGTGTCCAGTCCATCATAGATGACAGGAATTAGAAGTAATTGGTCATATCACACCCATAATCAGGAGGCAGGGAATGATGTGTACATTCTAGTATTCAGATAATTCTCCATTTATGTAGCCCAGGATCCAATCTAAGGAGTGGTGCCAAACACAGTAGGCAACTTTTCTCACCTCAGTTAAGAAATTATGATAATGCCACAAGCATTCCCAAAAGCCTGTTTCCAAGGTGATTTGAGATTCTGTGAAATTGACTATTAACACCAACCATTATACAAACAATGGTGACTAGAAATAGATAATGGAAAGTTATGAGTGCTAGACTACCAGTGACTTTATCAATAATAAACTTTAAGTAAAAAATTAAACAATATTTAGATACTGTTCATACACCTGATTGAAATTAATAATGAACAAGTTAATAGCTAAAATTAACTACAGATATATTTAATATAATTCTAGTTTTAGATAATGAGCAGTTATAATTAGTGTATAGTTCTAGGTAATACACATCATGTACGTGTGTATAATATGTTTGTGCATCACCGTTGTTTAAGTGGAAAGCAATAGGAAGATTTAAGTATTTAGGAGGCATGAACACATCAGAATGAGGACTTAGATAATGCTAACCTCAGTATTATGAGATAGCTTTTTGGAGAGAGAATAAGCAAAATTATAGACATATAAAGGAAAAAATGTGATACTTTTTATGTGTCATATAATGATTGTTTTCATTAAATTGGAAAGAGCTAGAGAGGTTTCAATGGCTAAAATGCTTATTGTATAATCATCAGAACCCAAGATATATTTTCATCACCCATATAAAAGGCCAGGTGTGTTAGTGAGCAACTCCGAAGCCTATCCCAGAATGGGTGATGGTTCATATAAGCTGAAGCACTGGAATTCACTGCAAAACTTATAGGCAGGTCAGACAGTGCCTCTTCAAGGCAGTGCTAATCTCTGCCCTTTTCAGGCAACTGTGATGGTCTGAGAAACTTCCACATAGCTAGACTGATACAAAAAGTATCTCTAAACAGTCTTTATTGCCTATATAAGCTTAAGGAAGGAAGGGCCTCCTGCATCTGATTAGTTTCAGGGACTTCCTGTATTTGCTGAGTTGTTTACTTTCTAAGTTTTATTGAACTGTTCTTTAGAACATTCAGAGTCATAAAAAGCTTCCCTGCAGGGGGGAATTCATCCACTCCACCAAAATTACTTCACACCTGGGAAATATGTCCACACCTGGACCAGAAAGGTCTCCAAATGAGTCATGATCTCAGGGGAAAAATATATTAATTTGTTGCATTAACTTTGATACATCACTATTCGGCTGCAAACTGATATCATATATAGAAAATGTAATGACAGCGTCTTGATTCAAATTGTGTTTTGATACTCTCAGATGATAAAAGAATATTCTCAAAGGAAATGTGTAAGTATTGTTGAGTATGTCTGTTGAGATCTGGCATACATGGTACTGGGTAAAAACTGACCCCGGCTTAGTCAGCCGTGTCTAGTACTTTGCTAAAAAAAAAAAAAGAGAGAGAGTTCTTACACAAAGTAGATATGCAAATATATATACTCATATAGCATTACAGTTTTGACAGAGAAATGATAGCTAGATGAATAGGTGGGTAGATAGCTGGTAGGACAGATAAATTGTAAACGGCAGGTGGAGGATTTATAGACAGATGTGTTTGATGCATGTAGACTAATGATGTTATTTTGAGAGGAGGGAAAGTTAAAGCAAAGATCATATTTTAAAATATAACCTTAAATGGAGAATTTAAAATATAATATTAAATCATCACTGTGATAAGGCTACTTTGCAGAACATTATCACCAAACATGCTACTAGAAGTGTCACCTTATCAGACCTGGATTGTTTTCTCTGTGGCATTAGAGAACACTAGACAGTTAGAATGAGTAAATTTAATTAATATGTATCAAACCCTTTCCTGTCCTTTTCTGCCCTTGATCCCTCCCTTGCCCTCTCTCTGTCTCCTTCACTTTCTGTTTTGCTATGTCTGTCTCTCTCTATTTCTTATTCCTTCTGTGTCCCTTCCTCCATTACATGGCAATTTCAAGGTCAGCTTATACTACATAGCAAGTTAAACTCCAGCCTCGTGTATATGAGACCCTGTCTCAAAAGAAAAATAAACCAGACTAGAGCAATGGCTCAGAGGGTAAGAGTACACACTGGACAGATGCTCTCCTGGTGAGGGCTGCTCTGAGGTGCTAATTCTTCCAGTGCTCTTGGCTGTCCTTGCCAGTAGACTCAGGTCCAGCTGCAGCTAAAGAGGACATCGAGGTAAAGAGGAAAGTGTGTTTGAAATACAGGGCAGCTGTCATTCCTAGAAATTCTTCAGCAAAGCAGAAGGCTGAGGGGATCACTGAAGGTGCATAGGCCAGGGACCATTTTCACCTAGCTCAAGGCTGTCTTACAACTTACTTATAAGCTAATGAGGACAGAAGTTGTGGCTTCTAAGCAGTACATTTATTCATCTTTAAGTATTTATAATGTGTGTGTATGTTATGGCAAGAAACAAATTGTTAGATGACAAGGTTTTGGGAATTAAGTCTCTCCTTCATCTTGTTTCAGAGGTATAGTCTCCCTTGTTTCTATATGTAATCTACATATGTGTCCAGCTATCCTTCACTGGGATTACCGACTGGAGCCCCAGAATTCACCTCTTAATTCAGGTTCTGGGATTGAATTCAGGTCATCATTTTAAAAGCCATTTACCTAGGTTCCTTTCAATACACTCGTTCACATCTTAGTAGGAATCTTGTTGCACTTCATAGATGAACATTGCATGTTCCTTCCCTGTAGCTGAGTGAAGAGTGAAATGTAAGTTTTGTGTTTCTTCCTCTTTCTAGATCTCCTTGGGAAGACAGACGAGCATGAACCTTTCACAAATGCAGTCCGAAGTGACTCAGCAGTCATTGGAGGTAACCTGTCTTCATTACTGGAAGCAGAAAGATATCTATCATCCTTTTCTCTGTAGAAAGTTATTTGAAGCCTTTCTTACCCATAATCATTCAACACCCAGAATCAGGTACTCTCTTCCCAGCCCTTAGCCTCTTTATGCATGGTGCAAGATTAATGGAAGACCCTCCTCCAGTGCCAGGAGCTTATTGGCTTCATTCTGCCTCGAATTCAGCAGGCTCTGAACCAGCAGCTGGAGCATTTACTCACAGAAGGCAGGCTGAATTTTGTTCATTACATCCTGTTGTCACTTCTAAAGCATAAACAAAACAGACCAATAAAATTATGTGTGGAAAGAAGTCATATAGGGGCAGACAGATGGACAAAGCTGCAGTCTTTTTCAGTTTTTCTATACCAAGTAATTTGGGTTAGAGCTAATGAGTAGGGTGAAGCCCACATGACTGAAATTCCAAATCCAGCAGTCCATCTGGCTATGGATATAGGGTTTGACTACTCTGCTTACAGCTCATCTGCCACCACCTACTCTTTCTTTACTGATTTTGATCCTACCCCAATCTTTATTCTGTCTCAGCTAGACTAATGCTTACAATAGTTTGATGTTTCCATCTGGGTCTTGAAACATGGAATATCTTCCAAGTTTGGTTTTATATGAGATGTCTGAGAGACGAAATTCTGTTTTCATTGATGACTTTTAAACCTAGCAGGTTCCTCAGCCTTCATTCTGATAGCTGGGATGAATGAATCCACACCAGATGGAGTTCTTTAAAAGTTAGTAGGAGTCATTCATTTCACTTCTATTTAATTAGTTCTGGCTCTGGGTCAGATCTGTAGTAAGCATGGGGATATAGGGAGGTAGAGTAACTGCCTTCCCAGAATGAGAAAAATAGGGAGGAGATAGGAAAGCAGGCAGTGGTAGCAATATAGAAGCTGGTTCCTAAAAAAAGAATGGGGATGGAAGGATTCCATCACAGTATCATCCCAGAGAGGAGAACCTTGACCTTTCCTTAGGGAACGCCTTAAAATACTCATATGAGCAGAATGGCTTCTCCAGGGAAGAGAACTGAGCTTGATATTTCTTTGAAACCATTGAATGTCACAAAGACTTTTATAATTCTTTCTGTTGCAGTAAGTTTTCATTTGAAAAGAAAAGACTGGGTTCTGGCATTCTGCACTCATTAGAAAGCTCCATTGAGTCACTCTGAGAGTGGGAAAGTTATCAAAGCCTCACAGGAGATCCTGGGAAGCTTGTTCAACTTCCTGCCTTCAACACTCTTTCAAAACAGCCGCAGGAAAGAGGCAACTTCTGCCACATTTTAAAGCTACAGTTTATGCTTCAGAGACATTAGCTACTACCCAGACTAGACAATTAACTTTGAAATTTTATTTTGCCTTGTTTTAAAATATTTGGGAAATATGTTACAAAAATGTGTTTAGAATATATCTCTACCCAGCAAGGTATCAAAGCAGATGCTGAGACTCATAGCCAATCTTTGGGCAGAGTACAGGGAATCATATGAAAGAAGTGGGAGATGAAAGATGCAGAGGGAAGAGGAACTCCACCAGGAGAGCAACAGAACAACAACAACAAAAAATCTGGGCAAAGGTTTTTGTTTTGTTTTGTTTTGTTTTGTTTCTGAGATTGATAACTCCAACCGAGGACTATGCATGGAGATAATATAGAACCCCTGCACAGATGTAGCCCATGACAGCTCAGTGTCCAAGTGGGTTCCTTAGAAAGGGGAAGTGGGGTTGTCTCTGACATGAACTCAGGGGCTGGCTCTTTGATCACCTCCATCTGTGGGGGAAGCAGCCTTACCAGGCCACAGAGGAAGACAATGCGGCCAGTCCTAATGAGACCTGATAAGCTGGGTTAGATGGAATGGGAGGAGTGTAAGACCTGGGGTCTCACATCTCAGGAGTTCAAGATCGAGCCCTTCCCAGAAACTCCCCCAGACCAAGACTCGTTGCAAAAGCAAGAGGTTTATTAACCATTGCGCAATGGGGTCACCCCTGCCGGTCAGCACCGGGAGACAAAGGCCTTTAGGTTTTTAAAAGAAAAATTGCGGGAGATTTGAAGTTGCAGTCTTGGCAATCTAGGATTGGACGAGGAAGCTATAAAGTAAGATAATTGGTTAGTCTTAGGCGCTCAAGCTTGGCCAGTCCTGCCAAGTGTGGATGCAGCTGCAATTGAAGGTGGGGGTGGTTAGCTCATCCTTGAAGATTAGGGGCTACAGACTTTTGGCTGGAGGTCAAAAGCTACTCAGAAGAAGTCTAGGTTTGTTGCTAAGAAATGCTATCTCAAAGACAGAAGTTTTTCTTTTTGCTGAGTGAAGGTCATTGCTTGCTTGCCTTTTTTTCTATCTGTCCTCATAGATAGGGTCAAATTTTTCCATTCTCTGGAAAGGTACTAAGAGGCTTTAGCTTAACCTGAACCTAAAACTCAAAACTATAGGCTTTAGAAGACATATAGGTTACAAAGTTAGTCTAACCCTTTCAGGAGGACCTCCCCTATCAGTGGATTGGGGGAGGGGCATTGGAGGAGAAGAAGGAGGGAGGGTAGGATTGAGAGGGAATGAGGGAGAGGGTTAGTGATGGGATACAAAATGATAAAAATAATAAAAAGAGATTAATTATAAAAAAACAAAAAAGAAAAAAGAATATATGATGAACATAAATGGTCTTAGTTACTGTGAAAACTGTTAAAAACTGGTGAAAGATAGGTCTATATATTTATCTTTCTAGTATCAATTCACATAAATAGTGGCATTTAGACCAAGGAATTCTTGGCAAGACTGAACAGTGAACAGCAATAAGATTCTGAAATAGGTGCTTTTCTCTAGTCAGGTAATATAGACAATATGAAATACAAACGTACATAACTATATCAGAAATGACTGGCTCTTTGACCTCCCCAGCCCCCAATGGAGGAGCAGTCCTGTTAGGCCACAGAGGAGGGCTTTGCAGCCAGTCCTGAAGATACCTGATAAAACAGGTTGGATGAATGGGGAGGAGGTCCCCCCCTATCAGTGGACTTGGAAAGGGGCACGGTGGAGATGAGGGAGGGAGGGAGGGATTGGGAGGGAATGAGGGAGTGGGACACAGCTGGGATACAGAGTTAATAAAATGTAACTGATAAGAAAAAATAAAATTTAAAAATAAGAAATTATTTTTGATAACAAAATTTGCTGTTTTGTTGTTATTAATTATTAACATTTTGTAAATGTTGTTTATTGCTTACTGACTTGATTTATTCTTTATTTATTTTAAAGTAAGTTCTGTCTATGTAGCTCAGGCTAGAGAAATGACAGAGACAGCAGGAGAAATTGTCTGAAAACAACATGGAAGGCAAGAAGAGTCTCCTGAAAGTTGTCTTTTGTTATTAACACAAGTGCATCCATACACCTACACACACACACATACACACACACGAGAGAGAGAGAGAGAGAGAGAGAGAGAGAGAGAGAGAGAGAGAGAATGGGTGAAATTTGCCTCCAGGAATTCTTGGAAACGCTTGGTGTATTTAAAATCTTCGAAATCTGGATTTGCTCCCTAGCATAAAAAAAAAAAAAAAAAAAAAGTAACTCAGAAACCACACAAATCCTTTTTGTTCTAATTCTATATTTATTCTTAGGTCATCAACATAACCTTCCAGAAGAAACAACCTTTCTCCCTCAGGACTGTGCTTGCAGAGGTTTTATAGAACTTAGAAGGACAAGGGCTTCTGGGAAAATCTTTATTTCTAGATACACAGTAGATTTGTGTTTGTGTGTTGGCTTTGCTGCTTTTTTCTTGGAAAGTATGCTCTTGCCTAGACATAATTTTCTCAGTGACAATTTTCTTTTCTTTTGTCCTATTTTCCCTAAAGGCGTCATAGCAGTGGTGACTTTTATCACATTTTGTGTCATCGGAATCATGACCCGCTTCCTCTATCAGCATAAGCAGTCACACAGTACCAACCAGATGAAAGAGAAGGAATACCCAGAGAACTTGGACAGTTCCTTCAGAAGTGAAATTGACTTGCAAAACACAGCCAGCGAGTGCAAACGGGAATACTTCATCTGAGCTGCTGGAGGACACCTGGTCCTCTTTTACTTATTTTCCCACTATTTTTTCTTCTCTTTTTTGTCTTTTAATTTAGGCGTTTGATTTCTGTCATTTGCTATTAATTTTCTGGAGCACATATACACCCACTGAGAGCACTGATCTCTCCAGCTCAGTTCAGGAGGTCAGGTAGCTGTGGCTACTGTAGTTCACCGACTTGTGTGTCATTGTGACAGTCAGCACTGGAGGCACAGACTTCACTATTGTAAACAAGGAAGAGACACATGTGCACACACGCACATTCCATGTTTATATTCCAGTTTCTGAACTTCACTGCTCAGTTTCTCAGGCACTTGGTCTCACCAGCTTCCATCAGACTTGAGCTCTGTGGTGTTTCCTTTAACTATTGTCCCTGCCCAATACCATATTGTTAGATATTATGGCTTGAGAACAAAAGAAGGTATGTGTGTGTGATGGAAAAGGCAGTCAGTCATCCTTTAAGTGATGAGTTTATCAGGGAGCCCAATAGAGCAGAAGGGAATGAATGAAAGTAAATCCCCCTAGGAAAAGCAACATTTTTTCTTTTTTTATTTATATATTTTTTATTTTTAAATAATTTTATACATTCACTTGTATCCCAGCTGTAGCCCTTTCCCTATTTCCCTCTCAATCCTCCCCTCCCTCCCTCCCTCCCTCATCTCCTCCCTGCCCCCTTCTGAGTCCACTGAGAGGGGGTGTCCTCCTCTCCTTCTGTCTGGCCCTAGCTTATCAGGTGTCTTCAGGATGGTTGCAATATCCTTATCTGTGACCTAGCAAGGCTGCTCCTCCCTCAGGTGGGAGGGGAAGCTCATGAGTTCATGTCAGAAACAATTCCTGATCCCTTACTAGGAAACCCACTTGGATACTGAGCTACCATAGGTTATGTCTGAGCAGGGGTTGTAGGTTATATCCATGGTACTTGGTTGGATAAACAGTCTCATAGAAGACCCCTGTGCCCAGATATATTTGGACCTTGTGGGGCTCCCTGTCGCCTCTAGGATGTACTAATTCCTCCTTCCTTCATATGATTCCCTACACTCTGCTGAAGGTTTGGTTATGGGTTATTTATTTATTTTTATATCAATCACAGGTTATTTGCTTTGTATCCCAGTTGTAGCCCCCTCCCTCATTCCTTCCCAATCGCACCCCTCCCTCATCTTCTCCCTGCCCCTTTCCAAGTCCACTAATAGGGGAGGACCTTCTCCCCTTCCATCTGACTGTAGCTTATCAGGTCTCTTCAGGACTGACTGCCATGTCCTCTTCTGTGGCCTAGAACCTGGAAACGACCCAGATATCCCTCAGTTGAGGAATGGATACAAAAATTGTGGTACTTTTACACAATGGAATACTACTCAGCAATTAAAAATGAGGAAATCATGAAATTTGGAGGCAAATGGTGGGGCCTAGAAGTTATCATCCTGAGTGAGGTATCCCAAAAGCAGAAAAACACACATGGTATATTCTCACTTTTATAGACCTCTAAGATAGGATAAATATACTGAAATTTGTACACCTAAAGAAGATAAACAAAAAGAGGACTCGGGGTAAGATGGCCTGCTTGTATTTATGGCATTTTCCAATCAACCAGAGGTGTTTATTTATGTTAGTTTAATGTCCACACTGTAAGTAGTCCTCTGACTCTATGCATCTTCCTTTCCGTACTTTCTAGTACAATAGTAAGTGGTTACTTTGCTCCACTTTTGCTACTTTGTTTTGAGGCATGGATATAGTAGCCTGTTACTAAGAGGCTTCAACAAATGTGTGAGGAAGTAGCTGCTCCTATAACTTGACAACTGACTTCTCCACTTTACCAAACTAGAACATGTTAGCTATGTTGTTTCTAAGATTGCTGTACTGAAGCAAAGAAATATTCTCATGTGTGTGACCACATAAATAGAATTAAAATAAAAGTCTAAATTGGCTTCATGAAAAGGCCTAGCCCATCTTAAATGAGCTTCAAGAAAGACTGAAAAATAATAGGGAAAAGAGTTGCATGAAAAATGAGAAACATCAAATAGATTTATCCCTCTCCATCCAATCCAGAAACATCTGGTAAAGAAGGAACGTGCCGGTTAGCAGGACTCACATTCTAAAACACATGCAATGAGTTTACTCTGACGACTGAGCTATTTCCCAAGAGACAAGGGACCTACTGTTGTGTGGGGGAGTGTGGTCACCTCTAGCTCAGAGGATTTCAGGGGAGCCCTTAGTTTGGAAACTACATCACATATTCCACTCTGTATCTGTACCTATGTACACAAAGGTGCCTCATGCACTTGACTTATGTGCCTAAATAAGGTACAGGCTTTGGGTTCTGTTGGTAGCAGAGTATACAATTCATTCAAAGAGGCATCTTGAATTTGTTGATGGTGGGTATTATTGGTCATTTTATGGTAACAATGTTCTTAACTCTGCCCTTGGACCCATGTGGAGAAAAGACAACGTAGAAACCACCCAAACACTTCAGGCCTTAGAAATTCTAGAACGAAGATCTTTTAAGGAGAGAGTACTGGCCAATTCCCTTTCCAGGGCAGAAGTGATTTGCCAAGCAGGCACTTTACAGTCAGTAGGCTATTCATCTCTTTAGTAAATATCCTACCGCTGACTGTCTTACACTGCCCTGGACAAGGAAGTTCATAGTGAAGCCCTCACTAGCTTCATCCAGTTTCCTATTTGTAGTTTTTCTTCCCTTTCAAAGGTACAGAGGTAAGGATGGAGTATGGCACAGTCTACAACTATGAGGTATTATCCTAAATATATGTTCTTTCCTTAAAATTTTCTATAAATTCTTACCTACTCTCTCCCTCTTTTAGAATATTGTAATTCTTTTGCTAGTGAATGTAAAGCAAATATATCAAAGATGCCCCTTTTAGTTTTCTATCTTTAATAAGATAAATGATAATCTAATAAAGTGAGAATTATTGGGAGTCTATTTCCCTGTGCCCTTCCTTCGCTGCTCTCCAGTTTCTACTTTTGAATTTTCTGACTCTATAAAAGGCTGTATAAATCACACTTATGCTTGGCTGCATATTCCTTTGTCACAAAAAATGAAAGTCGTGCTAAAGCACTTTAGTAGCAAAATGACAGGTAAAGGAAGAATAATCACATCGGAATATTGTTTTTACTAGAGTCCGCAGAAGCAAGCACCTATTTTGCTGACATGATGTTGATAGATAGAAATGAGGATACAAACCAACTCAGTGTGTACGCTTTCATCCACTAATGTGCACTTATAGATAATCATGTAGGGAAATGTGTGAAGCCAGTCTCTGCCCTCTGCACAGCACCTTTCCTATTGGTTTTGTCCTTGAGTTTGCAGGACATATAGTCCAGGACACAGGACATGTAGACCAAATGATGGACACATGCCGAGATGTTACACTATCGTATGTAGTCTCAGGACTGAATCAGAATTCCCTCATAATGCCACACCATACACCAGGTGAAAGGCTAGTAATCTGAATTCTCATAAGCTGAATTCCAGCAAAGCTAGAGGCATGAACCAGTTTTAGTATTGGTGGCAGGATCAATTTGGTTTAGGCAATTATTCAATTTTGTTTCCCACCTTCATACAATTACAACCTAAAGCAAGACTCAAGAAAGTTCTAATCCTCCTTTAGCCACCACTTCTCTCTATGATATTCTTGATGCCTCCAATTATTTAATACTCAGCCCTTTACTGGTGTTGTTCACATAGAGAATTTCTGGGATATGAGCCCTTTATATTAAGACAAAAATATCAGTGCAAGATCTCATCTCATTATAAGGGGCTGTTACATTGATATCATTACACAGAACAAATCTATTAATGTAAGCAACTGTATGCTTGCTTTCCCTTAAAGGCTTTTAGCACCAGGTGCAATATTCATCCCATGTGTAGGGTAGATTGCTGTGGTTTCTCTAAGGCTAGGAAAATAGATATTTGTCATTTTCTAGATGTCTCTTTCACAAAAAGATTAACTCACGTTCATTTGAAGAACTCTGGAGCTGATATTTTATAACTTTCTTTTCTTTAGAAATAAGAAATGGTAGTATCTTAATTCTCAACCTTTGTCAGAATCATGACTACCATGTCACAGCAGAAGCAGGACTAGGATTAACTGAGCATATAGTTCTTTTTCATGTATTTAGTCATTAGAGGCATATAAAATGTCTGTGACTCCAGCATTCAGTTGGAATTGGATATATAAACACTTAACGTCCTTGTGGACTTTAAAGTTCAACAATATCAGCAGATTTTACAGCAACAGAAGTGTACACATGGGTTTGGAGAGATGGCTCAGTGGTTAAGAGCATTGTCTGCTCTTCCAAAGGTCATGAGTTCAATTCCCAGCAACCACATGGTGGCTCACAACCATCTATAATGTGAACTGATTCCCTCTTCTGGCAGGTGTAAATGCAGATAAAACACTCATATACATAAAATAAATAAATCTTTTTTAAAAAAGTATACACACAGCACCAGGGAGCCGAGAGCAAGGATTAGCAAATGATTTCCAGAGGTTTCTAGACGTGAACACATTTCTGGATCATTCTTAAAATTCCGTGTCTTATTCAGCCATTCTACCAGAGATGGTTGTATTGTTTCTCTTCCTCAAGATAAGTAACTGTCCATGCAGAATTTTTTAGCGGAAGATAGTAAATGAACTCTTTGGACAGAGAAAAAGAAAAAAAAAAAGGTTCCTATATCAGCCACAATTTTTGTATCTGGGATTCACTAGGTAGCCTCAGCTACTCTGAGACTCTATCATACTATCATAAACCAGGCTGGCCTCGACCTCAGAGAGGGCCATCTGACTCTGCCAAGGTGTGGACCATGGCTCTGCCTACATCATATACATGTGAAAGGATGCTAAATTTTCTATGTTCTCGTGTCATTTCTACTTATGTGTCCGACCTGAATATTTCCAGTGCAGAAAGCCATGCATGCTCTCTCTCCATACCATATCGCCTCAATTAGAAGACTCACTTTAGGAAGGTGCATTCATAACATCCCCATGGTATCCATGGACATGAGCACCAATATGGTGAATTGTTGCTTTATTTGTTTGTCTACCATCTGCTTTACTTCTTGCAAATTCCCTAGAGCTATAATCC